GTTATTATGGACATCAGAGATTCCAAAAAGATTCTAAAAAAATTTAATGTATGTACGTATGTATGTCTGTCACAAAAACTTTGTACCCCAATCACACAAAAACATGTGAATCGATTTAAGTCCAACTTGGTAGGTTATTAGGTATTGACCCAAGGAAGGTTTATAAATTTACAGATTTAAAAATATTAATTAGAACGGAAGATATTCAATTTTTTCAAAAACTTCAATAAATGGAAAATTTCCAAATTTCACATTTTTTAATGGATAGCTTTTAAACTTTCTAAAATTGAATATTATATGTTATTTAGTCACATTTTAGCATAATTTTGCAAAAAATACTATCCTATAAGTAAATATAATAGTATATTACATTAGAAGAGCAGAAAGTTCGACATTCCTGCATCGCGTGAAATGATGCCCGAGGCGAAGCCGAAGGCATCATCGCGATGCAGGAATTTCGAACTTTTTGCCCGTGTAATGTATACTATTTTTCTTTATATCCGGCCGAAAGTACGCTTAATAATTTATTAATTACAAATCTTGCAATCGCGTTCGATTTGACAGCCGGCCATCTTTTACTTTTGCTCCCCGCTTCAGCGCCGCCATCGGCAACTCCTGAAGCTCTGGCTTTTTCTCTATCTCTCTCTAAAAGAAAGACGCCGTTATTGACTTTCGACGCCGGCCCCGACATTTGCTGCACGAGCGAAGCGAGTGCTGCTGGCCGGGGGGGGGGGGGCATCGAAAAGACAAGCAAAATCCAAATATAACTACAATTTTAACAACTAAATAAATAATTAATTGCAATAAATGACCAAAGGAATAAATGAAAGTAATAAAAACAACCTTCTAATATAAAATATCAGTTTTTGTCAAAACTAAAAAAAAATTAATTAATTCATCAAAATTAATAAATGTCGGGAGCAGGTATCGAAAATCCATGTAAATAGACAAATATATAGCTAAAATTTTTTTTTAAAGAAATAGTCAATTTTTAAAACCTTTTCTTTATTTCTTATACTATAAATAACAAATGTAATTAAGTTTTTTTATTTATTAATTGTATTAACTATTTTTCAAATCTGATAGAGTACAAAAATTATTTATAATTTTTTTATGAAATATACAATTTATGTATTTGATACATAAATTTTTGTTTACATCAAAATTGAGATCATATTGAATGTTCTCTACGACATTCAAAGATTCTAAAGTTTTACATTTTGATTCATTTTTTTTTAAGTAAAGCACCAGAAAAAAAACAATAAGCTTTTAGGTTAACTGTCAATCCCTATACGTCTGGATCACTCGCGCTTTAAATTCTCTGCCGGTAATGCAGAACAGCTAACAGCTTTTGCTCCCGCTGTATCAGAGGGCGAGCTTGTGCATCGACCAATGCACAAATATCTTCGACTTTCTGCTACGAAATCGAAGCAGAAAATACGTACTTTCGACCGAGGTATGAAGAAAAAATATTTTCAATATCAAAAAATCGATACTAATTACTATGAAGTTTAATTCAGTAGTATTTTTGGAGACTCTGATTAATATTTTGACGTCAAAATAGTGTAATTCAGAATTATTTATCAAATTAATCTAATATTTTCAAGAACTTCAGAAATATTGAAAATGGAAATTTTTTATGATTAAAATGATATTGCAGGATGTCAAGAATTGTAAGTCACCTGTGATACAATACAAGCATATTATGCCACTAGGCAAAAACTTATATGTTAAAACGTTTTTTTATTTTAACTCTAGATTTAACTTTTAGAGATGTTTTGAGCAATGTAAAGACAAAAGTTAATACGGTGTCTATTTTTGTTTAACAAAATTTCCTGCTTTGTCCAAATTTTTCACGGTTTATCTTTTTTTGTCAAATTTAAATTTACTTGATTTTATCCACAAATAAATCTACAAATGGCTATAAAAATTTACTTATATTTTATGAAAATACTCTTTCTTAAGTTCATATAAATATATAGATTATATTACTAGCTGTCGTACCCGTCTTCGACAGTTTTCTGTTTCTACTAATACATTTAACAGGGTATCTACCAAACAGGAAAAAGCTGGGAATATGCCGAACCGGGAATTTTCCTATCAAATTAAGAAAAAGTTTCATTATAGGTATTAATTCGCTTTTAAAAAATTGCTTTTTACTTTAATTTTTAATGATGTATAATATTTATGAAAACAGACCCGAGTCAAAATTTAAGCCCTTCTTTTAGCCTGAAATATAGGTCTTATGTTAGGTTTTAGCAGTCATAACGTAGGGTCTACTTGCGATACAATTAGTTCTAATTAGACTCTACTATAACTCCAAAAACTGGGTGGAAAATTTGATAAATTTTTAAAACGTACATTAATTAAAGTACTACAAATTGACAAATATTGTTCTCTGCATTTGAATTGGTTAAAATAACTAATTTGATAATAAAAAGTAGACACACTGTTAAATTTATTGGTAGAAACTAAAACCCGTCGAAGACGGGTACGGCAGCTAGTAATGCATTATATAACATGCTAATAAAAAAATACTATTTCTTCATTCAAAATCAATTTTTTTTTTAAATCTACATTTAAATACTCTCAACAGATCCACAAATTATAATTAAAAGGAATTTTGAGGGAACATTACATTTTTATTTAAACTTCCTTCTGGCGCGGCGCATCGTGCCTATTGAAAACATATTTTGAATTCCTGTAAAGAGATTTTTATTACTTATGAAAATAATTAAATTATTGCAAATAATTTTATTATTTGAGTTTTTGCGAAGAATTTAAGTAAAACGTGTAAAATTAATGGAATTATTTTGAAGAAGTTTATTAAAGTTTTTAACAATTATTGACATCTTTAGAGAAATTAATTTAATTAATTAATTTTTAAATAAGATATTGAAAATACAGTGAAACCTCAATTATCCAAATTGTAAATTATCTTATCCGATAATAATAATAAGTGTTGCTGTTTAATATGTTTAACTTTCACATTTTTTTAGTTTCTTGTAAATATCTTTAACCAATAAATATTTATCAGTAATAGACAAAATGAATTGACCAAAATTAGTTTAAACCCAAACACAATAAATGTTTAGCGTTAAAAAGAAATTTTATTGAATTCAACTAATGTTTATTAAATCACAAAAAAATAACTTTGATATTAGTCAAATAATCTTTTATTTTTGAAATAATTTTTTTCTCATTCTGGTTATAATTTAATAATGGTTTTTTAACTCTTTAAAGCTCTAATTATTTTTCAACGTATTACTATTTCTCACGTAGCATATCCCGTGCGGAGAATATTTGGATATCCCGCGCGAGTCTCCCATGGGATGGAAATTTTGATATCCCAGGGATATCTCTGAGATGTCACAAATATCCCAGGGATGTCCCTGGGATATCTCAATATCCCGCGAGATATCTCTAGAATATCCCTAGGATATCCTTTTGCTCAGAGGGACATTTCAAAATAATATTTTGTTCATAAATATAAACGACAATAATAAAAATTATTGTAATTTCTGCACAGTAAAAAGAAAGTCTTATTTTAAGGCACGAAAGGTACCTTTATTTAACCTTCGCGCTACCAACGATTTTTTATAACGCGGGCTCCGATGCAGTCACCCGGGGTGACCAAACGCTGTTTTATTTTCATTTTCCAAAAACGATTTAAATTCATCAAAGTTTTCCCGCATATAATTATGTGTTAATACAAATACTGTATTTCAATAATGTTTTAATGCATGTTGCAGATAAAAATTGAATTATTATTTAAACAATTTTTAAACAAATTAATAATTTTTGTTTATAAATTGTAATCTGTAATCATATAAGGTTTAGTAAATTGCAAAATTAGGAAAAAACTGAAACTTTCTAGGTGCATTCTGTAAAAAGTTGGTAAAAAACAACAATAATTTATTTAAACAAATAAAAAATTCATTGTAACATCAAAACATATTGTATTTATTGACACAAAACAATTTTACTGTAAAACATTGATGATTTTATTTTTATTTTTTTTGCAATATACAAAATAAACACCCGGGCAATTTTCAGCAGTCTCGTACATACTTTTTATTTGTATTTTAGTCGATTCATAATAATAACAACTAATTTATCGGTAGCGTTCGACTGTCGATAAAGAAAATGCAATACTTAGACGTTTCTGAAAATGACCACATGAGTTGTACTAGTATATAGGTATTTATCAACAATGTAAAAAACTAACCTAAACCTGTCAACTTCTTGAGAATTAAAAATAATATGTGAATAAAATGTGAGAAAAGTAAAGGATACAACTATTAAATTCAGTGAATTATTTAGAAATTCACTACAGTAATAAGAACTGTCAATTCAGATTGCTTATCCTTATTTTCACGGAAGCTGAGCTTAGATTAAAACTAGTCTTAGTTTCAAGACTTGTTTAATTTCAGCTCGTTTCTAAAATAAGATTTACTTTTTAATGTTATCAGAATGTGTATTATCCGAATTTTTGTTTATTCAAAATAGGTCTTGCCTGAATTAGTTCAGATAATCGAGGTTTCACTGTAATAGCCTTCCTGCGAAGAATTTTATTAAATTTTTTTGAAAATAATTCAATTTTTGCTATTAATTTTCTTACAAAAAATAAATTAATAATTTTAATTAATGAATAAGTGTATGTTTAAAAATGTTGAGTCTGAAATTATTCTAAGTTGAATATTGAAAGAAATTGATGGTTGAAAATAAAAAAGTTTGTAATTTGCATAATAATAAGAATAATATTAATAATATATTAAAGGAAGAAGTTAACAATTTCCTTTAATTTAAATATTAATAATAATTTTATATGAATATTGCGTTTCGCGCGCAAATCATAAATAACATTTGCTAGCAATAAATAATAAAAGAAATTATTAGGAAATCATAATAATAAAATAAAGTAGAAATAATGAAATTATATAAAAGAATTAATAATATAATATTTTGTATATGAACTAAGACGAATGTTTTGTTTAAAGGCATTGGATTTTCAGTCACGTCATCCATTTTACGAGTATGTACGACCTAGTGTCGATGGTATAAGTAACGCGGGCAATTTTCGAATACCAATGTATCCTAATTGTTATGGCAGTGTCAGCCCTTATCTCACACAACCCATTCGTAATAATAGAAGTCCCACTGAGCATCAAAGGACGCCAGGGTACAATAACTATGGTTTTCATCCTGAAATGCGTGAAGTGGAAAATGCCTACGTTGTACCTCGTGTCTGCATTGAAAATACCGAGGTGACATTTTTTCTTCTTCTCCATTTTTTTAATTATACTTTCAGCAAAAAATCGACATACCTTTTTATCAAAAACTATATTCTATTAACTAAAATTATAAAATATTCATCACTTTTTTTTAAATGGTAAAATAATATTTTGTTTTATAAAACATTAATTAAATTAAATAAACGATTTTTTTTCGTAATTTAATTTAAAAATAAAGTTTTTTAATTTAGGGTCGCAGGAGTCCATTCGAGCAGAGACTAAATCTCGACGTGAATTATACAAACGACAGAAGGCAAAATATCGTTCTAGAAGAAAAAGATTGCATTGAAACGGATGTTTATGTTGAGGGACGTATTATTCCCAACAAGAAAGGACCAAACGAAAATTATCCATTAAGATGTACTAGTCCGAGATTGAATCAAACTGAGGCGACAATTCGCGAGGAGGAGGAAAATAATATTTCAAGAATTACTCGATTTTAAAAAAGTAATTATTTAAATAAACGAAGAAATAAAGAATACAAAAGTAAAAAATTTATAAAAGTTAAAGAAAATATAAAGAATACTTCTCATCGACATTTCACGAGATCCGCAAAAGATTAAATATATCTCATCAAATAAAAAGGATGTACATACATATATATAGTCATCGTTAATCTTGAAAATTGATACTAGAGCTCTTTACTGACCTTTTCCTCATCCTTTTTTTAAAAAGAAAAAAAAGAAAGAATCTTCACTTCTCTTTCAAGAAGATTTATTATTTTTTAATTTTAGTGATAAACTTTCAGGTGATATATTTCTCATTTGTACGTGAATATATGTGGACGTCTACATGAAAAGGGCCCATTTTGGCATTTTTGGAGTTATCTATATGGGCGTATTCCTGGCAAAATTTGGAAAATTTGTGTGGTCGTAGAACTTTTTTGGTTAAAAATTCGCTGAGTTACGGAATTTCAAAATTTAGAACGCCAATAACCTCATTTCGAGAAAAACGGAATTAAAGATTGCGATACCAACTAATTGTTGTATCTCTGGTTCTTCTTTGAAGTTATTCAGATAAGAATTATTTCCAGTTCAGGGCACCTTGAAGGTAAAAAACCAACAGGTTTTAAATTTTTAAAACCATCCCCCCCTCTTATTTTTGAAAATACGAAAAATCGACAATATGGCCCTTTTCTAAAAAGGACAGTTTTCTATTAAAAAACCATTTTTTTACAAGATTAATGATTAGGTACAATTTTATTGTGTCATTTGAAGAAAAAGAATAGATATTAAACTTATTTAAAATTTTTTGGCAGTCTCTATTATAAAAAAATTGACGCAATATCCAAATTTTCATTTCGACAATTACGAAGAAAAAGACTCTAACATCAATATCTTTGGTTCTTCTGGGAAGTTATTCAGATAAGAATTGTTTACAGTACAGGACACCTTAAAGATGAAAAATTAAGAGGTTTTAAATTTTTCCACACCTCCATTTTTAAAATACAAATTACTTTTGCAAATGACCGACAAAATGGGCCATTTTCATTTTTCTAAAGAACCAATGAAATCGAACAGTTAAATTATCGATAAATTAATGAAAACCGCATCCCAGTGGGAAATTTCCAACCGGCGCGGATCCTCGCCTGTACCGACGCCAGAGTAGTGGTACTGGCTGGGAACCGCCTGCCTACCGCCCGAGAACTGGTATTCTACCAAAAGATGACTTGGCCAGGAGCTGGCTGGCCATCCGTCTCGGAACTGGCATTCTACCGCCCGGTAACCGGCCGCGAAGAGCCGTTCCGTGTATAATTCAACCGGCTGGGACCCGGCACTGTACCGACTGCGGATCTTTCATTTCCTAGCCAGATGTGCGCTGGCAATGCTGGCATTCTACCGCCTGACAACCGGCTCGGATCAAAATGATAATTTCAACAAATATCAATAAAAAATAATAATTAATTGCAAAAGATAAATACGGATGACAATTCATTGACAGTTCACTTTACACATTTTTTTATTTCTTTATACACTTAAACGCAATTTTTTATTACATACACATTTGAAAAATCCTAACGCTTGGGGGTACGAACCTACGCCTAACCGAATATTTACGCACCGAAATCTCGCACGCTAACCACTATGCTACGCTCGCATGGAACTCTCAAACCTTAAATGCTTTCAAGTCTCACTAGCTGAAATAAAAATTGTAAAATTACTACGCGGCAATAGGCAATTTGGAAATACGAACTGATGTAATACCGGTATATTTTCAATACTTTACTGAATGTGTATTTATGAATATTTCAATATTTCGTTTAAAAAAAAATGTTATATTTTTATTATTATGTTTTTTAATATTTTATTACATAATATATCGAATAATATGAACATAACTTCACTGCAAAACAATTTATAACATATAAGTAATAGTATTAAATTGAATAAAATTTTAATGCACAACACATTTTTTTAATTATTTAATTTGCAAAAAAGTGTCAATAAATAATTACTTAATATATTGTTTAAATTAAAAAGAGATTATTAATTAATTAATAATAAATTAATTAATAATAATCTCTTTTTTATATATTGTATTTAATATGTTATTTATTGTAGGCATTATAATATATTGATCACATTTTCTTTCAAGTTAAATATATTTTACTTCTTTCAAATTAATATATTATTTATTAAAAATTATTTATTTAATTGCACATTAATAAAGTTGGATATTTATATATATAATGAAAAAATTAAGTTTCTTATATTCTTCCTTTGCATGAATACTATTAATTTATTTATTGGTTAACTAATAATAATATTATAATAAATGCAATTAGTTATTGTAATAATTAATTATAATAATAAAATAAATTTATGATTATACTGATAATGTAAACTATAACAATAAATGACGAGATCCGCAGTCGGATCCGCCCCAGCACCGAGCCAGTACAGACCTAACATCCGTCATTCTTCCGACGCGCGTAGAAGAATGAAATCTGCAGGCGGAACAAATCCAGTACCGCGCCAGTACTGACGAAAGTAGAAAGGCGGATCCAAAAGTCGGAGCCTAATCTGTTCCGCGCCGGTTGCATTTTAGGATCCGAATCGGTACATACCATCGGTGCTGGCGGTCCGTACGGGCGCGGATCCCAGGCGGTTGTAGGGTAATGTCACATTGAGTGGACCGCCACTTTGAGTGGACCACCTGAGCTTTTAAGTTATCTGACAGCGGAAACATGAAATAAATAAAACGAATAGCAGCACCGCACCTAGAAACCGTAAGAAATTAAGTTCCGCGATAAACATGTACGTTATTGTTTGATGTAACGCATTTTTAAGAATACAAACCAAAAAAGAAGTCGCTCTTACAATGAGTAAAGTGATTCAGAAGTGTAAAAGTAGTGTAAAATTTAAGTTTTAAAAGGTAACTTATTTTTTTCCTACTACTTTGGACGTTGAAATTGATTGTCTTAGTTTAATTAAGTGATATTTTTGACTAAAAAAAAAATTGTGGTGGCTGCCATAAAAAGTTGTATTTCACTATGAGTGGACCACTGTTTATAACCATGAGAGGACTGCCTGTTTTTTATATTTTTAATGTCAGTTTACCATCTTTAAGGAAATAAATTGACAATAAATTGGTTTGAAACTATGTTTTATGTTCTTTATTAATTTTTTTGTGATATTGATGTGATATGTGCCAAAATTATTAAAAGTGGTTTCACTTGTAAACATTGCGACACAATCATGGTCTGAAGCTGCATAAGCATAAATTTTGTTTTAATATATCAGAAATATTAAATAAATTAAAGAAAATAGAATAACTTTTACAATTTTTTAGGAGTGGTCCACTCAAGGTTACACTTTTTTCATTCCTTAAAAATGAGCTATTTTTTTAAAGTCAATTGTTTTTTCCAAATAAAAATAAAACAAAGCTATTATGGTGTAAACACTTACCTAGGGATCTAAACTAAAGCATGGAATAGAAACCTCCGATTAATTTGCTTTCATAAAGAATTTTTTCGAAAAAAAGCTTAGGCGGTCCACTCAAGGTGACATTACCCTATAATCCGACATTCGTCCGACTTTTCCTCCTGGGATGATTAGACTTGTCAAAACATGTAGATTGATAATAAAAAATTAAAAAAAATTAAGATTTTGCTCCAAAATTACTAAATTGCAATTATCTGGAAAACTAGAACCGACAATACGGTCTTTCACTGCTGATATCACATTTATCAGAAATTAAGTTTTAGTCTGAATAAAACTGTGTCTTACTACTGCAAAAGATAACTAAAAAATATTTGGAATCATTTATGTCTAACTAAACTTTACTTTTACTACTTGAATCTTAGTTTTACACTACAGTTTGAATTTGCCTTCTCTCTAAATTAAAATTTGTAGAATTTCTATAAAAATTAAAATACTAAAATCAAAATTACAATTACATTTTCACAAGCTTCAACCCGTGTAGAAATTTAACCATGGCCCAAATAGGGGCCAGATCTTTTGATCATTGTGTAGGCCATAACATGGCAATTTCTACACGGAAAACGTTCGAATGAATAAACAATTTTAAAAAAATACCATCTTTTTTTAAAAATAAAATCCTAAAAGGAAATGTTGTTTATCCCTTCAATGCACCTTAAATTTATAAAATTGTGAAATTTCAAAAAATGTAATTAATGTTATTTCTTTGAGTAATGATTTCAAATTCAACAATAATAATAATTCCAACAAATAAAATCTTAACATTATAATCAACTACATAAAGTCTATTGAAAATATTATTAACACTTAAAATTTACATGACGATACTTCTAATGACATTAGAAATAGATTGATTAATAACTTGCGTTTTTATGAAAAAACCATATACCTCGTCATAATAACTTTAAAGATGTATTTTTTTTAAATGCTTAATGATTTAAAATGTTATGGTGGCTTTAAACAGGACTTTATATATTCAGAAACAAGACACACTATACTTTCTGACCAAAATACTTACAAGCGTATTATAACAAAGACCCAGTTTCAAAACTAAAAACTAAATTTTATGATACTCTAAAATATTTAAATGACTCTATTTTTAAATAGAAAATATGCGGTAAACTTTTTTCGCAGCGCGCAATCCCAGGCGCGAAGTGACGCCGAGTTCAGGCTTTATAAAGATTGGCCGAGCATTGGTCAACATTGATTGAGCATGAGTGAATCAGCGAGAGCAGGAATGATCGAAGCTTTAATGTAACACCGATTCCAGACTGCAGCGCGAGCCTTGGTTCAGCATTGGCACCAATGCTCAATCAATGCTGCGGACGCCTAATGCAGGACTGAAACAAGACTGCTTCCACTGTTCCCAAATTTACTCGTTTCTCACGTTTATTCAATATAATGTGAATATATGAATTATTAATAATAATAATAAATATTATTGTTATTATTTTAATTCATGTATGTGTATATATACATTTAATGACAATAAGTTATTATTTGTAATAATTATATTATTTTCATATAAATAAGAATATATTACTAACAATAAATATCATTTGAATAGTAATTTAAAACAAATAAGTTTAGTAAAAAAAACAATTTTTCCGTTAACTGTTACATTTTTTTTCTTGATT